AGTTTTTAAAAAATAGCTAGAAAACCAGCTGTCAGTTAACTTTTCTATTTTAAAAAAATAAACTACTTCTATCAATAATGTTAAATTTTCCCACAGTCATTGCCCCATCTTTAGCCATCATGATGGCAGAATTATCAGTAATGGCACTAATAGCAACAAATGAAGAGAACACAACTATCAGGTTTAATACTGACAATAGCCAGTAACTGAAGTCATAGGAAAGTATGACTTCTTAACATGATTTACTTGATGAAAAAAAGAAAATATTCCAAAGCCTAATTAAATTAAACCCAGCAAGTATTTATTACCTACTATGGGAATGGCAGCACGCTAAGTTCAGGTAATACAAAGGCAAAGATGAAAAACAAACAAAAAAAAAGTCTAATGAAAGTAATTCAGAGAGGACTGAAATAAGATATTACAACCATATCTATTCTTTTCATTTTTATTTGTTTGGTGAGGGCTGTTGGGTGATGTTTTGGGTTGGGTTGAGTTGGCTTTTCCTATGGTAATAGATGTTGGGAGCAATATCATCTCTCTCCCACGCCAATTTCAGAATTAATTTAACTAAGTTACAGAGCCAAAAGATAAAGGACTGTGTGTTTACTTCTAATATATGATTTTGATAACCAAATACATAAAGAACAAATTTCAGTAATCTTTACTCAATACCTCCTCCATGTCTATACCTGCAACTCAGAAAACAAAAACATGTATTATTTATATTACACACTCCCTCCTTCTTAAATATAACCCTATTTGTATTTCCTTTACTTTGCCCAAAATGTGAATAGGACCCCACCCCCATCCAGTTCCCCCCACCCCAATAACAGAGTGGCATGGGATGAGATCTTTAACTGGGATGAAGCAGATGTTGGCTTCATGCCGTCCTCTAACTTGATTATTCTTTGGACACGTTAGGCAAGCATTAGTGATTGATAATGACGCTAATTAACCCCTTTCCTTTCCAAACAGTAAGCTGCTGCCAGCGGGATGCTGCAAACAATAAATATAAAACACTGCATACATCAATATCTGTTTAAAGCACAACTTCATTTTGGCATGTTCAACTACAACAGTTTCAGTTAACGACTAGATATGTATTCGAACATTTGTCCTTTAAAAAAAAAGAAAGAAAAAGAAAAGAAAGAAAAACCCAACCACCACTACCACCTAAGAAAAGGGTCCTGTTACTTTAAGACCACAAAATGCTATCATACCTGTCAGATGGAGGAAAGTTAGGCCATAATGGAAACCATGCACAATTTTTATTTCAGGTTTACACTTTTTTTAAACTTGGTTATTCCAGCTTTGTTCTTAACCTATTTAAACTTGACACAATGAGGATGGACTACATGTAATTTCTTCTTTGTGGGAGGAGAGTATCTTATCTTTGTTATACTTTCTGGGTATGAAATCTGACATACTACTGTGATGAATTTAGTTTTGGTTGAAGTGGGGGAATTGGGGGAAATGTTTTATACATCATTATGAAATTCAAATTTTAAGCAGGATTTGTGTAAACCAGGAAGAATTTGATGTGATTATAGAGCCTAATATATCTTGACTTATAAAGAAATGTATAATAAATTTAGAATTTTGATAAATGAATATTCCTAGCAAGTGAATAAAATGTATTCAATTAACTAAAACCCCATGCACTTCTGAACTGAAATGGAATCAACTGTAATTGATTTATTTGAAACCAGAGGTTAAGGACTGAATTAGCTAAGTACAACTGGGTATTTCAAGCCACTGACTTCTCAAATGTCAGATCCTTTCTATTTTAAATATTATTTCAGCTGCGGGGCATTGCTGTCCTGATGGCTGTTCCACCAGTTAAATCTCAAATTATATTAATATTTGATTTTGGGGGGAGGGGTTAGATTGGGATTTTAAAAGTTTTTTTGGAGGGGGGATGACTATAGACCTTGAAAAACCATTGTGGTTTGATTTAAATCAGGTGTTGAAATTAGCACACTATTCCCCCCACCAGCAAGAAGGGTCTGCACTTTAACATTCAACTACTTTTCCTAATTTGAGCTAATCTAAAAGAGTAAATGTTCTCACTAAATGAAAACCTAACCTAGAATAACAATGGTGATGACTGATGCATTTAAAGATTCCAAATCTGGAATCTGAAAAAACAGTTATCACATGTTTTAGTAGGTGCAGGTTGGTCACAGCAGAGAATTCCATATTCAAATAGTTTCCATTAGACCTATAAAATCCTTTTTTTTCCTTCAATAATGACCTCCCTCACCCAGTCATCTCCCCTCCAAAATGCTATGGAGCTTCCTTTTGGGTTTTACTTGGAAAAAACTATGCGAGAACCATGATCCTTAAAATGCACAACTGTAGAATAAAATGAATTAATTCTATTCATTTTGAAAGCATTGTTTATTATGACCTTGTAATGTTCTAACACAACATTTCCTTTTTCTCTTGCTCAGGATGCAAGGATTATATTGGGTACAGGATTTCAAAAGTAACAAGCATCTGTAAATCCAGATATGAATGAATGGTATTTAATAAGATTGTTTCCATTTAAAAATGAGTATTTATGTGTTGTTGTAGAAAGAGCAGCAATGTATTGCTGTTTATGAATGCTATTGTGCCTGAGGTTAGGATCCCCCACACAATCTGAGATGCAGCCAAGAAAAACAGCCCTGATAGACAATGCTTCATTTCACCTGCTACAGCACTGTGCATTTCATTTATGTCAAGAATATGTACAGTTAGGGTTCATTCACCTCATTATTTTGTTACATCTACTTTACAGTTAACCAGTCTCTCTAGGAAATAATAAATAACCGTTTTAAAAACAATTGCAGCTTTGCATTCTGAGGATCCACTTTCAATTTGTATTAGGAAAAATCCACCATTGTTATGAACTAGCTTGCTTTTGAAAATAGAATTTAGACTCCACCAACTCTCTTCTGCTTGACGAGATTGATTTTACACTGCCTTCCCTAAGTAGATTACCAAAGCAAAATGAAACATATTGGACTTTATCTAATACTTTGCATCACCAGCCCTACCAAACATCAAAATATATGAACAAATGTTAATTCTCCCTGTAGTTTTCCTACATACCTTACAGTTAACCTCTTCCATTTTCTGCTTAGAAAACACATAAACATCCACCTCACAAAGCAAAGAGGATTTTCTTTTAATTAACTACCATGAACTCTGAATTAGCAAGCCTTATTTACAAACAAATACTGACATATAGGGTCCAAACCAAATACCGCTAGTGTTTCAATAGACTGTCATAAGCAATATGCAGATATGTGTGTTTGGGTTTTGTTTTCGTTTTCATTTCAGTATATTTGTTTTGTTTTGTTTTTTTTAATTAGGCTCCTTCAGGTAGGATGGGGGATGTAAAGGGCAGTTATAGAAAAGATACCAATGATCTATCTATTTTTACAGTTTCCTGTATTCCTGTGAAAGCTATTTAAACACATATCAGTTCATCTATAAATATGAAAATGAATTTGAATTAAATTTCTTCCATTCCACTGCTCCTCATACATTTGTATCACAATTCTTTTTTTTTTCCAAGATTCATTTTAGACCATTTGAACATCGTATCAACAGAAGCATATAATTCTGGTATTAATGAACCAGATTATTATTTCCCTATGAAAGGTTCATATTTTTGTTTTAAAACACAAATCAAAACCTAGAGAATCAACATAAATAAAACTTTATTTTCTTTTTTAAAATAAAATTCTGTTTTGATTAAGGAAAAGATGGTATGTCATTCCTTTAGCAGTAGAGACAATTTTTTATCCAAAAGAATACATTGCGTTTTATTGTGTCATTTGTCTGAATACAGACTCAGTGGAATATCTAAATGATACCCTGCTCTGAACTCCAAGTTGAAAGTAAGTTTTTATTATACTTGAGGGAAACAATGGGTTCAGCTGCTTATTGCAAGGAGCAATTGTCAAGGGAGAGTTAAACTCAATTACTGTAACCATACTGAATAAAAAATACTGCCAAGAACAAAAATACGCCTGGGTAAAGACAGCCACTGAATAAAAAAAATCGACATAAAGCGTATCAAATATTTATTTATCTGGGCAACAAAGGACTATGATACATTGACAGGCATGGAAACTACTGCCAGCACAACTCAATACAATACAACTAGAACTGCTTCCAATATGGCCAGTGGAAATACAGGATACCAGGTGGTCCCAAATGTTTGAAGTTCTTTGAACAAAAAAGATAGGGGGTGGGAGGAATCCCTAACCTTGGACTAAAGACAATATCCGTTTATTGCTCTGATGATGCTTTTAAGGGAAGACAGTGGAGAAAAATAAAACTTTTTTCCTAAATCCTATCCCCCCACCCCATCTTCATGACATAAGGTTTGTAAGACTGCTCATGTTTAAAAATCATTCCAGGATCCAATATCACTTTTTCTTAGAGTTCAATGAATGTAAATGTAAATGTAATACTAATTACATTTTTAAAATCCATTTTATTTCTCTTTTTAAAAAAATTGTTCAGCTGCTTCATTGTCGCCTTAACATGCTACAACAGGTCAAAAATCATGAATCCCAGAGAAAAAAATAATCCCCCACACCTTGGATTTCTAAATAAGTACCATGAGCCACATGAAGAACTAAGAGGGAAGATTTAAACCCCACTAAACAAGAGGTAAATGAAATCACCAGATAAATTAAAAAAAAAGGCTTAAAACAGACTCACCATATTTACAATTCCCATTAAATTACACATAAATAAATATATACAGACGTGAACACTGATTCCCTTATAGAGTAACTGCAAACTGTGTTGTCATAAAACGTTCAAGTTGGTTGCTTTACCTTGGAGAGGAAGAGGTTCTATAACTGAAGACATGACATGGAACTGCATGGATTTTGTGTTCAAGTTTATTCACAATACTGATAAAAATGTCATTATCCTTTTTGCCTTTTTTTTTAATATGGCTACAATCTTAACTGAAGTAATGTAAGGGGAGGTGGTGATTCAGTCCCATGAAGCTCATAGAATTTTTTTAAAATTTTTTTAACTGTTTTTTTTTTAGAAAAAAGTTCTTTCTTTTTATTTATTTTTCTGTTGGTTTACTTAAAAAAAAAAGTTCACAAACTCAGACAGAACTTTTCTTTGCTGGCTCCACCGCCTGTTCTGTTCTCTTAGGCTCCAAACGGGGGCGAGGGAGTGTTGATGATGAAGGGGGGAGGAGGCAGAGAGGGATTATGAGTCAGGGTTGGTAGACAGTAGAAGAGAGCATTCCTGCAGACTCAGAGAACAGAATGGGCAGCAGTCGATCGCCGATTCCAGAGCTGTAGCCTGCCAGGTGGTGGTGGTGGTGGTGGTGGTGGTGGTGGTGGGTGATGAAGGAGAAGATGGGTGCAGAAGAGAAAGGAGATGGGAAGAGGTGAAAAGATGAAGCAGGGTGGAGCTGAGGAGAAGGAAGGAGGGAAATCCTCACTTTCGGTGTTTCTCCTCTTTGTCACCACTTTTGGTGCTGTTGTCTGTGTGGCTGTTGGGATTGTTGCTGAGGTACATTTTGTCCATGGCCTTGAGTGCCTCGGTGAGATAGTTCTGCAGGGCAGTGACTGCTGCACACACTGCCGGGCTGCCGAAGCCATGAGAGATGAGGTTGAAGTGGGTCAGGCAGCTCTGAATGCCTGGCTCTAAGATAGGATTGGGCCTTGAGTTCCCCAGGGGAGATCGGTCCTGAGCCAGCAGGTCGGTGAACTCTTTACAGATCTGTCTGAAGCACAAGTGGAGCAGAGAGCGGGGGAGAGAGAGAAAAAGAGAGAGGGAAAGAAAGAGAAATGAGCCATTGCTGTCAGCAGCAGCAAGAGGGGGGCACTTCTCCCTGCTAGATTATATAACCACCTGGAACACAGAACTAGGTTTCCTTGCCACAAGGCCAAACACGAATACACAGAGAAAACGTAGTAACTTACATTTTACTTTTTCTATTGGCCATTTAAAGACTCAAGCAGTACTTCCATACATTTCTCAAGGGCCCTATACAGGCAAATACATCCCACTGCATCTAGTTATTCACCCCACTCTTCACCTTCTTCTCATAAAAACCAGCATTAAACATTTTCCCCCTCAGACATTCATGCCTCAAACATACTTCTCAGACAGTCACAGGCACATGTGTACATATATGCTCATAGAAGGCCAAAGGAGAGGAGCAATGCTCAGCAACAGAAAAATACCTTCAATATGATCCACCTATTAGCCTTCACAGTAAAAAAAACAGTATGGTACATCCCCACTGGGTACAGTTCCCCCTACAGACACTGTGCCCACCACTTGTATCTGGTATAAACCTTTTACCCTTTCTATAGTCCCCTATAATGAGTTGAACTTGGAAAGAAAGATTATGCTTTAGGTTTGGTTTTGGCTTTTTTCTGACTAAAAGAACAGGATGTAAAAGGGACAAGTGAGAGTGACTTATCTAGGACAGATACAATGTTCATTTCATCCTTATGCTGCTTTCCCCCTAAAAACTACAAAAAGAAAGCTGAGAAATTTTTAAAGGCAGAGTGGGTGAGGTTGAGGGCGTGTACACAAGCATACATGTGTGTGCATGTGCTGAAAGGTGAAAGGAGAGGAAAAAGACTAAAGTTTCAAACTGGGCCATTCAAAGGAGAAAAGTCAGGTTGGTGCTACTTGCAACGAAGAAACCCTCCCTGCCTAATTGACAGGAAAAACTAAACCAGGGACCTTGCCCATTCTGCCTCAAAGGTTTCTCAATGTGCAGATGGGGAGCTGGGGTAATTGAAGGCGAGGGGGAAGAGGGAGCTAACACTGGGAGATGGCTCTGGATAAGCAAAGAATAAATGGAAAAGACTGGCTATCTATAGGCTTAGGCTATTTCTATTTTCCCCACCACAAACTGACTCTATCTCCATCCACCATCAACTGCAGCCTCCTTTGCAACCCTCCTCCAGCTTCTACCCTCTGGCTCTGTGCCCTTTGGTGACATCTCCATTGGTAATTAAGGTCAATTAAATAAGCCTTTTAATTTCCAGAAAACATCATATCAACCACTTTCTTTTTAACATACCACCTGGAGAAGCCTATTTAGCCCTGGCAGAGACAAATCCTGACTGAATTTGGATGTGGGTGTAATTTGGGCCATTTTGAAACCTCTTCCATAAATTCCCTGTAGCCTAAAACATCTGAGATCATGGGAAAAGGGTGGAGAAAATGTTAGAGGAAAGAGGGCAACAGGCAGGAAGGAATCAGGCAAGCCTAGAGAGAAGGTTGAAGACTGGGGCTAGGAAAAGGAGCAGTTCTGAAATGGGCCAGCATCTGGTTTGTGTATTTCATGGGCCAGTATGAGCTCCACATCCTTGGAAAATGTCTCCTTGAAAGACAGAAACTGATATATATCAGTCCAAAGACAAGCTTATTTCCCCTTTAAGGATTTTGTCCTGATCTTTTAAAATAAATAGCCACTGAAATATAAAGTCATCTACTATCAAATCCTACATTAAGGAAAACTGCTAAAGGGTTGGAGGGAGGAAAGAGAGGAAAAGGATACAAACTGAACTTTATTTTTTTCTTTATAAGAGATGGTACTTTGGCAACCTACAAAATAGTTTAGCTACCTAACAAGAAAAGGAATGGAGGATAAATTAGGGAAGGAAAAGAAAGGTTTTTCTCTCAAAATGTAGCTATACCAACACTACAGAGGGAAATGTCTTACTTTGTAGCTAGAAGCATGTTTTTTCTTGTCACTTGCTCATTGGGATCGGAATGTTGTCGGTTGAGAAATTCAGCTACTGCTTTGGCAGGGAATTCAGTTTCACACACGTACCCAAAATCCCTGGCTAGGTGTACTGCTTCTCCTGGCAGAAGGTAGGAAAGACAGAGAAGTGGGAGGAGGTAGAGAAATATAGGATCAATACACAGATATACAACTATGGGAATAACTGAATTCTCCTTTTCCCCATTTCCCCTTAAAAAAAAATAACATCCAGGCAAACCCAAAACTTGTAAAAAATTGTTGTTTTAAGTATTTTATTTTTCTTCCCTAGGACTAAAGTAAATGCCCACTGCCCACCAAAGGCCAAGATACATAAATATCATAAATTTCTCTGCCTTCCCTTCCCCCTTTCCAATAATCATGGTTTCCTAGACACTGTTAAAATGTTCTTTTATAACAAACTCACATCCATAAACACATTAATGAATAATATTCATAATTACTTTTGGAGCTTTTCTGAAAAGAATTAAGTGCTTAAAATTTAACTTGATAATATTTAATTATCTGTTCACCCCCAAACGATTAACCATGAGAATTTTAGGGTCACTCTACTGAGTCGTCTGTTTTGTTGATTTTCAAATCTTTGGTTTTAATTTCCTGAACCAGTTGGTTTTTACTGCAGGGCTTCCTGCCATTAGCTCCAGCTCCGGAAGAACGCATGCGCCAATTAGAGCTTCAAAGCCCCGCTCAGCGGAGCTTGTTTCCATAAAATGGAGCAGATCATAAACAATAACAGTATTCTAGAAACTGTCTCACTGCCACAATACTCAACCCCCAACATTTACTCTCAATCTAAAAATTAGGCATCACTATCAACCTATCTGCAGATCAGCTCCTTATTGGTAAGTTCGGTACGCATTGTGTGCTAAACTTCAACATTACTGTACATAGGTCTATGGCATAGAACAATAGCTTAACATTACTGTGTATTTCACCTCTAACAAAATCAGTGGGTTTAGTAATGACACCTTCCTAAGTCTGTACTATTAAACTTTTTAAAAAGTTATCTATCCCCAAAATAAAAACATTGAAGTACATCCTACAACTGGGATTATAATCTCTTAGCAAATAAATACAAGGATTTCCAGGTTTGACCACTATCACTCCAATTTATAAAAATGCAAATAAGATTCACTCACTCTACATGTTAAGTTTTAATCTGCATGGCATTTTAAGTGCTTTTAATTTCTCTACTTTGAACTTGAAACATTTCCAACAGGACACAAAGAAAATAAATGCAAGCTATAAATTCATTCCATCATAAGCAAATTTAAGCAAAATTGATAACCTATAAAGAGACATAGGCAACTATGAGAGCACTCAACTCCTAACTCATGATAAAGTTGTGTCAGTCAGCTTTTGTTTTTATTTTTTAAGAACCAGCAATAAGATAATCACTCCAGCAATGCTTCTATTTCTTTTGGCTTTTCACATTTAAGTCAATAAAAATCTAAAATAGCTCAGTATTTTTTTTTTCCTCCAGTACAGCACAATGGAATAATAAAGGGGCATATGTTTAGAAAACCAGAACCAAAAAGGGAATGCACCTCTGAGCTTTCAGTACACTCTTAAATCATGACTCAGGTCAAGGATGCCCAAATTAAGTCAGGAAGCAATGGTCATGCATTTCTTAAACGCAGATGTCAGAATAACTTAAATGATTTACTTTTTGAGTTCTTTAAAGGGGACAGAAACTTTAACTTTGAGAATCTGCAGTTCTTGAAATTTCAAATTGTTTAAAGTCAGATGGGGATTAGGAGGTGAAATTATGTGGTGAAGATGAAGAGGGTCAGAGTAAAGAGGATTAGCCAAACATTTTATTGTTACATAAAGATTTCCTAATATTTTGGACTAACCAAATTGGCTCAGAAGGTAAAGTTATAAACTAATATAAAGTATCACTAAAATAATATCTTGGAAAAATGATATATTTCCAAATAAAGCAGCCTCCTCCTAATCCAGGAGTGGAGGTACTTACCTTCTACTAGTGATGTAAGCAAGGTGACATTTGCTGCCTTACGTCTTCCTGCAGGAAGGTTTAATCCTATTTTGTCCAATTTTTCTCTTAAAGATCTTCCCCCATTTTTAGACTTTGCCCTGTTTCAGGGACACAAGAAAAGAATTTAGGATGATGTGTCTGTATTACTAAATATCACTTCTCCCTAAATTATTTTGAAAGTTACCTAATGAGAAGGGTGTCGGGGACACCTAAAGGAGTGAATCATGTGAGAAATTATATCAAAAGAACAGATTTGATGATATATTGAAAGGTTCATTCTCCAAATCCATAAAGAGTAGGAGGAAAGCAGCAAAGCAAATGCCCACCAAACAACCAACTACCAGCATTTTAAATAATTTTATGGTTGGAATTATTTCTGAACATTTGACTTATTGCTATGTTACTAATAACAGTAACACATAATAGCTGACATTTATATATTGCTTAGAGGTTTGTGAAACACTTTACATACATTATCTCATTTGATCTAACCAAGTCCCAGTGGAGTCTTTAAACTGTCTTTGCAAGTTCCACTGTAGGGTTATTCACACAGTGGCCAAAGTTATCATCACTCTTTTTTCTTGCCATAGCTCTAGCCCCAATGGGAAGTTCATTTCACCAACTGTTTACATGGCATGTCACCAACCTAGCTACAAATGTCAAGAAAAGAAAAAAGAAAATCAACCTTAAAGAATTCCACTACATTCAGGGGGAAAAGAAGGCAATTCTAAGTAGATGTCTAAATAAACTATCACGCACAGAACTGAGTTGAGATAAATTGTTTAAATGAATCACCATATTAATTAACTTTAGATTTTATTCCCTACCCAAGTGCTCTTTAATTGTGTGGATTAGATTATGCTCCCCTAGGTAAACAGTCCCCAATTTAGGGGTGGGCAAAGAGAAAAAAGAGTAGGGGAAGAAAAAAGCAAAGGAAAAGGATGGTATATTACTAAAGACAGACGAAACTGAGAAAACCAAGTGAGTGTAGAGGGAGAGAAAAGAGCTGGACTGATTATATAGCTGCTTATTTTAAAAGGTTTGAAAATACAACGCAAGCTATATTTTATGCAGGGGATACAGCTCTCAAGGCACAGCTTTGTAGGCCCACGCATATCTGTTTTTAAAATGGATTTGGACAGTCATTGGGCTTATTTCCTATAAAGAGTGGAAGGGGAAAGAAAGGCAGTGAAAACATGAAAGCATCTCCCTCGTGCTCTTCAGCAGGAGAGCAATTATCTCAACGTTCAAGTTGAGCTGGGGTGGGGCGTGGGGGGAAGGGGGGCGGTTAGGACAGAATCTGGAGAATGGTCTGTAAGAAGCCACTTCGGCGCGGGGCTGAAAGCTAGGGTAGAACTAAGAGTGACGAGAAGAGGGAGACCAAGGGGGTGGACCCCAGAGGGGGCGGACCATCGGAGGAGTTAGAAAGGCATGGGTGCTCGGGCCAAGGGAAAACGATGACCCAAAGGAAAGATATTTTTAAGGGCTGGATTTGCACCAGCGGCTGGGACCAAAGCCGAGGAAAAGAATCCCCTAGTGAGAGCGCGTAACCGCGTCAGTACCAGCGCCCGGGCACGAGGCCTGGGCCGACATGGGAGGGGGAGGGGGAGGGGGGGAGGCGGGGAGCGGGAAGACGTAGAGGAGCTGACAGCGAAGGAACTCGGGAGCGCAGGCGCAGTCTGCTCTCCCCCCTCCTCATTCCGTCCTCCTCTCCCCGCCTCCTTCTTCCCAAGGCGGGGAGACAGAAGGGGAGGGGTCGGTAGGGGCGTGGGGGTGGGGGGAGTGGGAACTAAACGCCTCAGCTCTGGCGCAGGCGCAGCGCGGCTCTCGCAGCCTGAGCCGAGCCGAGCCGGGCCGAGCCACACCACACCGGGCCTCACCTCCGAAGCACTCCGCCCAACAACGAAGCGTTGAGACACTCAGGAGGCGAGAGGCGCCGTTGCACTTCCGCCACCGTGACCTTGTACTTCGAGGTGGAGCTGAGGAGCGAGAGGCGACCCGGAACTGAACAGAAGACCTCGTTGGGGTTCACGACGCCACCGAAGAGGTTGTCCTTGTTAATGGGGATGGCGGAGACGGCGTTGCTGTTGGACTTGGACAGGGACACGGGGCCTGCGGAGACAGATGCGGGGAGGCTGTGGGTGGGCGCCGGGGCCACCGAGGACCCCCCAAACCAAGCGGGTGAACACATCCTCCCGGTCCCCACAAGCCGCCTCTGCGCCCGCGACCTCCGTAGCCCTGGCTCCCACCTCCACTTCCCCCTTCTGCCTCCTTTCATCTGCTACCCCTTCCCTGCTCTGCCCTCTCCTTTCTCTTCCTCCCATCTCTCCCGTTTCTCCTTCCCTTTCTTTTCTCTCCCCCCTTTCTCTCATCCCTCTTTTTTCCACCTCTTCTCTCCTTTTCTTTCTTCTCTCTTCCTCGCATCCTTTCCTCTTCCCATTTCTTTTCTCCCTTTTTTCCACTTTTCCCTTTTTCCTTTCTCTTCCTCCCCTTCTTCCTTTTCCCCTTCCCTTTTCTCTCCTCCCTCTTTTTTCCAGTTCTTTTCTCTCCTTTCTCTTTCTCCTCCTTTCAACTCTCCTCTTTAATCCCCATTTTTCTCTTCCTTAATCCACTCTTCTCCACTCTTCCTCTATTTTCTCTCCGATTTTAAAGTAATGATTATTATTGCTCCTCTTCTAGTATTTAGGGATTTTGCCCCCCCCACGTGTTCACTCACTGTCTATGTTTCCCTTTTCTCCTTTTTTTTTTTTAAAAGGTTTTGAATCTGTCACCACCAATGGACCCATCAGGGGCTCTTCCCAAAAATATGCAATCATATAAGCAGGGCTAGGGGGCATATAAACTTCATACGGACAAGGCTAGGCAGCATATAAGTTCTTCATACAAGCAGGGATAGGTGGTATATAAGCTCTTGTACTGAGCTTGGTCTAGTCTCCCTCCAACCAGTTCCATTTGCTGGGTTTGCATTTGGGTGGGGAGAGAAAGTTGAGGGCTTTGCAGGGAAAAACATTTAAGCAGAAGCACTAATTTAGGATTGGAGGAAAAAGAGGTGTGTGTGGAGGGTATGTATCAGCTGATCGGTAGTTATGCTTGGTTTGGTTTCGAAGGACCCTGGGGCTGGTGGCGCGGAGAGGAGTCCTCTCAGTATCTTTTAGAGGTGAGGAGGGAAGGTCCAAAGAGTATTTGGGAGAACTAATGCTCAGTGGGTAGAAACAAGGACTACAGCTGAACTTTTGGGTTAAAGTAACACTACCACTTATAAAAGGGGGATTTAGTTCTACACTCAACATACTTGACTGATAAAATGAGTCCTTTCCTAAGTTTCAGATTTTTTAAATATTCAACATTAAATGAGCAAGTTTTAAGACCCTGAACATCTGAGGGCTTGTAGAGTAACAGTGAATCAGCCTTCATTAGAATACATTGAAAATGTGCTTTTCTTTTAGAAATTTTTAACAACTTGGCAGACTAAGTAGATTTACTGGGAATGGGGGGGGGTTCTTCCTCCTTAAAAAATCTCTTTCACACACACACAAACCCTTAATTTGAAAGCAGTTGTGAGAGTAAATTCAAAGCCACTGGAAAGTGTATTGAACAGTTTCATTTCTCTACACAAATATACTCAGAACCATTTAAATATAATGTTTTGTATTAAAAATTCCCCAAGAAGACATCAAATGTTATATACATATGTAAGCAGTGTCATACTGTATGATATTGCTTTTCTGTTATGTGTTCTTTAGTATGAATATTCTAAATGTGGGGGGGGCTTTAGGTTTTGGATAGATCACTTGTGACATTAATAGCTCTGGGGAGGCTAATAGAGACAATAGGAGTTAAACGAACTCTGGAGATTACTAATAAAAGAGCCAATTATCATGTCGACTTGGAAAGAGCATCTCTTAAGATTTATCCCTTGCACATCTAATTTGATGTGACAAAGGCTTCACAGACACAAAAATGAAACTTTAAACTAGCTTATCTGTGTACTGATTAGGTTTAGAAATGAGAACAGTTTTATATGGCATCATCCTCTGGTGATGCAAAGAATTCTGAAATAACACTGCCAACAGAACACAGAAATGTTGCTACCTAGAGCAATAACATAAATACACTCAATCCAATCAACTTTATTTCTACTAACTAAACACAATACAAATTACAAATCCAAGGAAATCACTATACTCCTTTATGTCTAGCACAGAGTTTAAAAACTATACTTAAACCTTAGGAAGAAGGTATAAATTTAAACCAAAACCCAAACTTCTTGGCACCTAACTTACAGAGTAACAAAAGGTTTGTTTAAAAATCCTTAGCCAACAGGATACAAAATTTAAAAAAAAACAAAAACAAAAACAAGAAAGCCATTTTGTTTCTGAGGAAATACATGCCATTTTTAGCTATTCTTATTTCAGTATGAAAATTGTCATATGTTATCATAAGTTTCTTAACATCCATAAGCTTTTAGTTCCATTCATCTAATGAAATTAATTAATCATGAAACCTCTGAAAAAGTGAGATGCCACTACACAATCAACAAATTAAATAGTTTGCCATATACAAAGAAAGTTCAAAACACCAACCAACAGAAAACAAAATATAAATGCTGCTAACTACTAACAGAAAGCTGATCATTTCAATATTGCTGGTCCATGCCTATTTACTACCTCCAAGCCTTTAGGAAATCCTTTCGAGAGAGAGAAAAAAAAAAGAATAAAGCTCTGCAAGTTCTTTTAAATAGTACACAGCCTGTAAGGACATGCTTGGAATGCAGAAGGAAATGGCTTACCTTTCTTAATTACAGTTTGATCTGGGATGTTAATACCGGGGTCTTCTACATGCTGCAACAAAAGGATACGAAGGGATTTAAATGTGTAATCATAACAAAAGGAAACGAATGTATGGGGATGGTGGGGGGAGGGGAGGTTGTAGAAATGAAATTTCCCCTCCTATATAATGACATTTATATATAAACATCTCGTGTTGGCTTATTGGAATTTTCAGCTTTGCAAATCAAGAGGCTTCAGTGCAGACTGATGGCCAAACCCTCCCGCCCCTAGCAAACAACCCTCGTCTCAATATATTCTATCTTTGGGAATAAAACCTAGAGCCTGGATACCTTATCTTTGACAAAGTGCAATTTAACCTTTAAATGAATCTCACTTAAGTTTGGCGCCTCATCACCTTCCCCCTTCCCCCTCTCCTTTTCCCCTCTCCACGCCCCCCTTCCCCCATTTCAAGATTAAAGTATGCAAGCTAACTACTGCTCGGCTTCAGGCTTCTAAAGCTAGAAAAACAATGGAAAGTAGCGGAGGAAGTAACTGGGGAGCGGTGAAAATCATTTTGAAACATTTTAGGTAATACGATAAATAGCTAACGAATATTTAAAATACACCTTTCCTTTGGAAAAAAAATAGTCCCCTCTGCCTGAACTGAATAACAAGAATATGGATATAATAAAGACCCTGACATAGCTGTTGTCCAGGCTCAGGTTTGGGTGTTGTTTTTTTACAAATGGATTTTTGTGTGCTGGAGTCAAAACGTGATTAGAAAGTAAAATGAAATCATGTTTTCTAATTCAGAAACTGACAGGCAATATAATGTCTGGCTGTGTTTACAAATTAGCACCAGTGCTGCTGAGATAGAAGATTTCGCAATCGTTACCAAACACAGGCATTACCATTTAAAAAACTATTACTTCCTTCTCTAGTCTTTGTCCAACAATAATACTGATTCAAACATTTTCCATTCTGTCTTGGATTTATGCTCTTGTTAATTGTGCCTGATCTCAATGATTCCGGGTGGATGGTACTAAGTTGCTTTATTACAGGTTTTATTATACTCAATGCTCTCATTTGTAACTTGCCTAAAGTGCTTCTGGATTTAAGTATAATTAAATTGAGAAATGTTCAGAAATGACTACTGCTGCAGTTCTTGTGTTTTAACTATATGGGGAAATATGATCCCTTTATGCATGCACCCTAAACCCATAAAGTAAATGTAGTGTGGCATAATACTTTTATTTGTGTTATTTCTTGACATATTCCATACAGGGAGAACTGTTAAGTTTAAAATCCCACTGAGATATTTATGATTAATTTTAACCATCTACTTGATTTTTTAAATTATTAAGTAGTTGCAGAATTGGAAAATTGAAACAGACCCCTTTCCTGACCCAGATTCCTTTGAAAGAAACTTTTTAAAAAGGGGTAGAGAGGGATGATAGGTTTCCTTATTTTTATTTGATCACTGTTAATTTCTCCTTACCCACCATTTTCACCAGAGTGCCTTAATGTTACAGATGTGTTCCAACTACCACTGGGTTTGCAAAAAATATAGCAATTATAATTCATAGGATTTCCAATAAGCATGGAACATGGTTTTGCAATTTGAATATTCCAAAGAAGGGGTCTAGGTAAAGAATTCAAGAAAATATTTTGGGGCATGATTGTTACGACCCCCAATTTAAAAAAATTAAAACTCATTCAATTAAACAAGTTCCTCTGAGGACTACTTTGTTTCAGGAAGAAAATGTGCTAAGCATCAACTTGTTTTGTGTGTGTGTGTGTGTGTGTGTGTGTGTGTGTGTGTGTGTGTAGATGTATCCCAAAACCTTTTGGGACCTGTATATACAATATATGTATATAGGTACATATATATCTGATATGAAACCCCCCCCTTTGAAAAAGTGCCTGTTTACCATTCAAGGCTACTAAATACAATTATTTTAGTGGTTAGCTTGACCAAATAAGAACTATAATAAATTTTCTGCTTTGTCCAATATGTAACTTAAACAGGGTTTCAAAATGACCAAGAAAACAGGTAAGTTCATCTGACCATCAGCCTTGTAATATGGGGTTATAATCATTAAACTGTCAGCGGACATATTGTTGCAATATTTGATATAGTAATTTGGGATAGCATTTTAGTAAAAATCACATCCAGATACATTTCCTCTGAAAAGGATGACTTTTTAAGGAGCTGCTTGCAGTTTTAATAAAACTATTGGCATGTTCTAATTCTATTTTCCTAGAAGTTGGGAGGGAACCATTTAGAGCAACAATGGTGGTTTAAATTAAAATTCACAAGGTATTTTCAAATTAACAGTAGCTTAGTTTGCATTGTAAATAACAAACGTACTAATGCCATTCTTAATTAGAAATCATTTAAAACTGTATTGATAACTGAATTAGAACTAAAATAATGTATTATTCAATAATCTCAAAACATTTAATTTAATACAGAATATAGCAGGTGTTGATGGACTTTGATAACCCAACTAATGATTTATGAGGTCACTAGCACTTCCAGTAAAAGATAAGGCAGCATTTTAATATACCTCTGGTCTGATTTGCTACATTTTGCTTTGACCATGATATGTTGTAGATTTGGTCCTTTATTTTACAACTTTGCATTTCACCACTCTGTATGTAACCTGGAAGAATAGTTTTTCTTCGAATGCCACTTTCACCCACTTTTTTGTTTAGCTTTGAGGGCATTTAAATGAGCTCTTAGTAGTCTAATGTTTTTTCCCAAGACAGTGAGAAATCCCAATGCAAGGCCTTGTGGTGGTATTATACACTCCTCCAATCCGAACAGCTTATTGTCATTGAGAAGGGAAGATATTGTTAATGATGGCTTTAATTTGATTTATTTATGTTAGTGAAAATGTTAATGCATGCTTTGTTTGTGGGGAGCAGCAGGAACCTATTGTTCTAGGTGGAGAACTCTCAGCCACTTTTTTGTTTGTTTTGTTTTGGATCTTCGTTTCCACGGAAAAGAAGAGAAAACACCTACACCACGGTTTTGCCACGGTTTCAACGATTCTGTTTAGCCTTAGATAACTTTTCTACTTTGGGGGAAATGAGAGGCAGGGAAGGAGGACGTATCTTTCCCTTTCCCCAAGCTCCTAGTACGGCCCTACTTCGCACTGAAACTACCGTTTAATTGAGAGAGGAAAAAAAAGGGGAGGGGGTACTTTATTTTTCTTACCGGTACATCTTCTATAGCGTGAGGTATTGAATGGATCGGAATGTCTCCTAGTCCTGAGCTCAGCCCATGGGGTCCGTGCAGTAGATCCTCATGTCGCCGATAATCCCTTCGAGGGTCCAAACCCGATAACTGATGGGGTAACCCCCGGTGTGTGTGTAACAGCCCAGCTTCCTGGCTTTGTCTCTGTCCGGGCCAGCCTGGGTGCTGTGGCTGAGGTTGGGCGTGAAGGGGGTTCAGGCTATAAGGATCATTAACGTGGGAATAAGGATCTTGAGACTGGGGGTAGATGGGCTGGTAGGGAGGGGGAAAGTAAGGAGGCTGGAAGTCTGCGTTGGGCGTGTGGGAGAGTGGAGGGGCACTCGTGTAAGGTGACTGACCGACTGTCCCCAACTGGGGTAACCGGGCAGTCCCATTGCTGGTGCCATCATGACGGTCCTAGGGAGAGGGAGAAAGAAGAGAGGGAAAACAGGACAGATGTAAAATCTGAGTTGCTTATATTAAATCGGTTTTGAATAGCTTACTCATGAAACTTCCAGGCTCTCGATTCTTGATTCTTTTAAGCCGCCGGAACAGCGTTTTGAGATTCTCTATAACTTTCTGATTTCAGGGGAAAGCCCACAAAAGTGAAAGAGACATTTTCAAAATTTCAATGGAATTTTGGTATAGACTGGGGGATAAATACATGTCTAGGTATTTCTTCAAACAGAAAAAGCTAGAAAGGGGTCTTCTGAATTTGAGAGTGTTCAAATGCCGCACCAAACCTCCCTTAAGCAAAATAAAAAGTCCTCGATATTAAACAGCAGAACCACTTCCTCCTCCTGCCCTGGAATCTAACTGGTCTTATTATTGTTGTTTACCTATTCGATTTATTTAGAGGAATAATAAACGTTCAAATATTATCATTTCATGACTATTTAAATAGAAACAAGCTGCAATTTAAATAGAAACAAGTTGTAATGAAAACACAAGTTTAAATTATCAGTTTAAATTATCAGTTTGACTATGGACAGAGACATGTGTCTTCTCCTGTTCTTTGACTGAGTTGGTAAGTGCATAATAACCCTTAAAAATAAATAAAGATGTAAAAGGAAAGGATTAATTCATTTCTGATTTTAAAGAGAGATGTACACTTCAGTGTACAGCTTCCTCTTCTCACTCCCTCTCCCCGTAAGGACAAATGAAATGACTGATTTTCGGCTTTACCATCGAAATTGAGTATCTTTCAAAATAGCAGTACATGGTAGATTCTATGGAATTCAATATCCTATGAAGTTCAGGTGCTTGGAAACACAGGAGCAAAGTATACAGATGGTTGGTAGTATATCAGGATAGGTTTTTAAGTGGCTAAGAATAAAGGCTAGACTCTTGGAAACACCAAGGTAACAAGTGAAAACGTAGAGAAATGAAGACTAATATGGCAAGAACAAGCCTTTTGATCATTGGCTTGAAGCAGTAGGTAGGTAAATGGGGGAGGGGGAAGGAAAGTAGGGAGGGACAATACATAAGACTTAAGGATGGAAAAGAGAGAAAAATGAAAAATGAAAGAAGTAGGGTGTGTGTGTGTGTGTGTGTGTGTGTGTGTGTGAGAAGTGGCCTTTGAGGAAACCTGATCTTGAAACCCAAAGTCCAACAACATCAACGACACTAATATTCTAGAGAGAATTCCCGAGGAGAGAGGGGTTAAAAAACAACAACCAAAGCAAAACAAAACTCACCATCGCTGAAAAACTGTGTACTAACATCTGCGAAGTCTGGGTTAACGAGTCAGGGCAGAAAAAAAATCAAGAGAAAAGTGACCGACTGCACATACACACACACACCCAACACAAAAGAGAAGCGAAGGAGCCCCAGTTCTATACTATGACTACAAAGTCACAACGCCGGAGACTCTGGAGAACAAGAAAAGCACGACTATAATCCATCAGAACTTGAACCAATTCGTGCTGGTGCCCTTCATTGGACGTTGAAAACTCGATCTCTATCCTGTCGTGATAGTATAATTCAAAGTTCTTATAAAAAAAAGTGTATGTGCTTGTTTCTTAATCCTTTTCTTTCCCTCTTTTCTCCTTCTTTGACTTAGCGGCTGCTTCACTTGAGCTTCTAATAACAGAGATCGACTGCTTTCCTTGAGACTCCTAATAGCAGATATTCATGACTATTAATATTACACGAATACTTAATAAGGGAAGAATGGCTGGAAATCGAGCGTGAAGCGAAGAGGCAACTCAAGGCAGAGTCTGTTCTAAATGACGTCCATTGAATGAAGAATCAGTGTATCTAATCAGAGATGGGGAGAGGGAGAGCTAGAGACAAAAAGAGAGAGCGAGCGAGAGGGGGACATGCCGTGGCGTCTGACGAATCACAGGGAAGGGGCAACATTTTAAAAGGTTGCAGGACATGCAAAAGTGAAAGAGAAAGAGCTCTAGAGAGGAAGACAGAGGGAGAGGAAAAAGAGAGCAGGGAAAAGAGAGGAGAGACAGACAGAGAGAGACAGAGAGAGAGAGAAAGAGAGAGAGAAGAGAGAGAGAGAGAGAGTGCCTGCATGAGAGACAGAGAGAGTGTGGGCGACGGAGAGGAACACAGAGTGGGGAGAGAGAAGGGAGGGAGTGGGAACCACATAGAGAGGGAGGGAGGAAAAGGGGGGAGAGAGAACGGATGGGGGAGGGGAAAGAGAGAAAGGGAGGGCAATCAAACCAAAAAGAGTGAGGGCAGACCTCAGGATGCTGCTGCTGCTGCTGTTGCTGCGAATATCCTGCATTATACGCCAAGGGCTGCATCTGGGCGGCCGCTTTGCTTTCTGTGCCAGAGTCTGTCCCCTGCCCTTTGGTACAGCTGTCTGCTCCGCTTTTCTGCGGGGCAGGAGCGTCTGGCCCCCTCGGTCCCCCTCCGCTGTCGCCGGCCGCCGCTACCAATGCCTCCCCGGGAGATCCTTCCATGGCTCTGCCCAGGACCCTGACCAAACAGCAGAGACGCGCCCGAGACTGGGAACAACGAGGCATCCAGAGTTCCGCGTGCTTCTACCCCTCTCTTCCCTCGGCCTTCATCCCTTCCTTCTTTTTTTCCCCCTCCTTAAGGGGATGCCCTGCTCTGCCCTACCCGGGTTTCGAGGCCAGGGACTGAGGAGTTACTGCCCCCAGGCTCTCTTCCTTTCCCCTGATCTGCCAGGTCTAGGTGCCGTCTCCACTTCACCCAGCTCCCCACACTACTCCGCCCATGAGCAGCTACTCTTTGCCGGCAGCTCAGCGGGTGACTGGGGCTGGGAAGAAGGAAAGCAGAGATCGGCAGGATTGTCCCCCTCCGCTCCCAGAGCATCCGCCGAGCAGTCGGTTGGGAGCTCTGGGGGACAGAAAAATAGGGAGTTCCTGGGACCCAGGAGAGAGAGAAGGAAAAGGAGCCAGCCCCAGTCCCTCCACACACTACCACAAGCTAGCTCCCCAGCTCCGGGTGCAAACCCGTCAGACTGGCTGGGCCACTCTTGAACACCAACTCCCCCCAAAGATGACACGCACATGCTTGAGCTGTGCAAGCTTCGCCGCCACCACTGCTGCTGCCAGTCTGCCGGGTTATCATAACAACGGGCACTTTGCCTCCTGCTTGTCCTACAGAACTCCAGCGCACCTAATCAAACAGAGCTCTAATCCTGCACTGAAGCCCGGGTTAGTCTCCTCTGCACACACAGTCACTGGGAAAGTTGCAGTTTGCTTTATTTTATTCTCCCCCGCCTCCTCTTAATCTCTCAGCAGCCAGAGACTATGCCATCCGCCTCCTGGATCTCTTCTCTCTCTCTCTCTCTCTCTCTCTCTCTCTCTCTCTCTCTCTCT